ACACACACACACACACACACACACACACACACACACACACACACACACACACACACGCACACACAGACACAGGGGCACATGTTCACACTCACTTTAATGAAGCCTGGAAAATGAACAAACATGGCACACAATGGTGTCTAAGTTCTTTTCCTGATCTGTCAGCATGTGCCTTTGTACGACTGCCCATGTCAGCATATGCCTCTGTGCGACTGTGCATGTACGATTTTGCCCTTTGCTCTTGGCGCTCGCATGTGGCCAGCTGGACCCAGCAATGGCAAAAGGTGGAGCAGAACACCAGGAAGACAATACAAAAGACAAAATTTCTAGCCTCTCGCATTGTGAGGCATGCCACTTCCTTGCCTTGCCTGCAACAAATACGGAAGCAATACTACAGATGAGCTTGCATGGACTCTGTTGTGTGTGTGTGTATGTGTGTGTGCTCACCTGCGTCCATGTCCGTGTGTGTGCTCGTGTGCCAGTGTTCTTGTCTGGGTGTGGGTGGGTGGCCCTGCTGATGCATGCACATTCAGGTGTCTGTGCGCACACGCTCTTCTCTCTGTGTGTGCGGGTGTCTTGTAGATTTTGACCACAACAGCCCATGTTCCACCCACTGCAGATGAGTAGATCCAAAATTGATGCAGCTTTATCTCTATTGCAGACAACGAAACACACTTGAGATGGGTGTGTCTGTGTGAGTCTGTGTGTGTCTGTGTGTGTCTGTGTGTGTCTGTGTGTCTGTGTGTCTGTGTGTGTCTGTGTGTGTCTGTGTGCGTGCGCATGTGGTACGAAAGGCTTGCCCCCAAGAGCGTGAACATGCAGAAGGAAAGCTGTTCCCCGAAGAAGATTTTGTCCATTTTTCATCGCTGCGGACAGGACAAGCAACGCAACGGCTACACCATGGCAAAAATGAGTGCCTCTCTCTTTTTTGAGTAATGTGCCTTCAGTACCGGGGTGGGCTGTGAAAAAGAAAATTAAAAACAGGGATAAAATTGTGAGATTTGCGCAGCTGCTGTGTGGACAATGGACCCTCGAAACAAATCGAACAAGGCCACAAGCATGTCACTTGTGATTTGGGCGGGCATTGCAACCAGCAGAGGCACCAAAACTGCATGCCAACCTGGACCAGAGTAGCAATCTTTGTGATTTAAAGTCCTTGTGTGACCATGCCCTGAGAGGCATCATGAAGTAGACTGACGGCCACGGGTCAATAATATCCATTAATATCCTCACAGATCAGTAAGTCTAAAATGGTCAGAGTACCATTTTCTTCTCAGATGCCTCAAAACAGCCTTCCCCGTACTAGCCGCGCCTGCATCATCAGGGGAGGGTTGATTGACGGCAGGGACGGTATGTCGGTGACCACTTGATTCGCTACCACAGGAATAGAAGTGGTCAGTTGGTACACCCATAAACTGTTGAAATACAGACCTCTCAATAGGAATCCAAAGCAACTCAGATGAGTAAGTAACTCTGAACGTACCTGGGGCTGGTCGGTTTGAACTCTGAAGATGATATCTCAAGGCTGTTGCACTTTTTAAGAAGCGGAGGTAGGTTGCGCGTCATTTAACAGCTCTTCCAGAAGTGATTCCTTTGCCTTGTTTGAGACGGGCATGGACTCCGAGGAGATTGGTTACAAACCCTTCTTGTCATCCAAAACCTTCCTCTGTGGTCTGTGGCATCATCCCAACCTGCGATGGTCCAGTGGCCATCTCCAAAGAGAAGCAAGACAATACCTGCATTGCCGCTTTGCTTTGGTGGTGGAATCTCGTGTCACATGCGCATTTCTAATCAACATTCTTCTTTGCCTTTTTTTTTTTTTTTTTTTTTTTTACATTCTTCTTTGCATACTTCCTAGTACCTTTGTCCAAAAGTGTCTATCGCCTCCTGGCAGCCAGCTTGACATTTAACGTTGTTCTGTCGATGCCCAGAAAGTGGAGTGAAAGTTGAAACGCCACTCGCCATGCACCGGTTTTGTCTTATCAACTTCTATTCACCCTGGAAGGCCAAACCTAGCAATTTTAGGCCTACTTGGTCTCAACAAAGGCCCGGGTGGAACCGTGGAAGCCGTATGCCTTTGGTACCATCAGTTGTTTTTTCTCGCAGGCAACTGACACATACATCAACTATCACACATCTATGGCTTTTTCTTTTTTTTCAAAAATAATTCATCGAACTTGATCGAAGGAGATATTAAGAGCTAATTTTAGCCAGATTGGGTACATCCGCAACTTTGTGCCCGTCTCTCCAACAGACATAGCCTGACTGCAAGGTGGCCAGGGCACGACATGGCAACTGGTGGCTTGAAACAGGTACTTCCCAACATGTTCTGAGATTCATCTTTATGTCTTCTTCAGAGTCTTCTGTTGTTATCATGAGCCACCGTGACCCTAAATGGGATGACCTCCTTAACCTACGATTTCGTCAAAACGGACATTTTTTATTTTTTGAACAAGACTGAAAGTTCATTTTTTTTGCACTTGTTCTTTTTAAGCAGTTAAACCACCAGTACTCCCTAAAGTTGTGCCCGTTAACAAGCCAGAATTTTAGGAAACATATGGGCCACTACAGGAGCGGCCAAATTCATCCGACTAGAAACGTTTCTACTTTATTTTTGTCCATGGCCGATAGTTGGGCCAAGTACTGTTTGTTTAAACTACCACATTATGTGGGATACCTCGGGTTACATTTACCAGAAAGCATGGTGAAACTACCTCAGATTGGAAGCAAAATAATGTTTGTTTAAGGATTTATTGTTTTTCAATTGGACATATGAAAGCTTCCAAGGTTTTTGTCAATTGTTTCAACCACTTCCTTACCAATTTTGGGGAGATCAGTGTCACAGGGCATCTAAAAAGTACCATAATAATGGCATAATTTGATTTTCCTCTTGATTCCTTGTATATACCCGTAGACTCTGAGCTGTTTCGTGACATTCTGCTTTATCCTCCCAGCTTCCTGGTTTCCGTTTTTATCAGAAATGTGTACATCATATATTACGTCGATCTCTGTGAACTTCACGACAACAACAAATAGTTTACAGTCCCGCAGTTCACACTTTACTACTGACTCCTACTCGTAAGGAAATGCTCCGCCACTCGTGGTAATTGTTGTCGCTGCAGGTACTGCAATTGGAGTGACATTTGTCATTGCTGTGTTATCAAAGGTTTTCTCTTGATTGCTTTTTTTTTCTTTTATATTGCAATGCATTACAATCCTGCAAGATCCATTAGGTACATTGGTCACATGGTGCAAAACTATGAATCAAAAAATTGTTCACCATACTTTAAAACAAGCAATATTATCTTATAAAATAATATATTACGCTTGGGATGGACAAGTATGCCCTGACTAACCCTTGATATGCGCTCAAGTCCGGCTTGACAGTGGCTGCGCCTTGCGAAATGCGGTAACCGCGGAGTCTGATCACTTCAATCAACTTCAATGTCAGCGGCAGATTCCCCTTTATGAGGAAGGATGGGACGCCCTCATCGTCCACATGTACACTTTTCTCCACATAGGATAGCGCTCTGAATTTGTTGTCTTTTGATTCCCAATGGCGAAACACATGCTTTTGACACTACTTAAAGGTGCTCAGTTGGGCCTCCTGGCGTCGATGTTCAGCAGCTGATGCCTTAACCGATTGACCTCCATGAGCCTCAGGTCCCTTTCTGTCGCATAATGGTGGCACATATATCCCTGCAATCCATGTTGTATTGATCAACTGCCCTTGCCTTTTGGTACATGTTACCCTGGCATCATGAAGCCTACCTGCTGCTGCCTCTGCCTTAGCAGTTTCAAGCAGTATATGCAGGTTTCCAGGGAAGCGCATTGCCAGTCCACTAAAATGCTCGATTGCGCCTTTGCAATCCTTGGGACGCGGCAGCACAGTCACCACAGTGTGCCTCAGTCTCTGCAAAACGCTGGAGCCAGCATGAAGGGTCACACTGATTGATCGTCGGAGGCCCTTCCATTCTTCGCCTGCGGCTGTGGCAAAAGCAGTTGAATCTCTCTTGAACTGCAGCCCAGTTGTGCTAATGCAACAACCTCCTCCGACACGTACGGGCATTGCCTTAAACAGTCCCAGGGGCTGTAAGAAGCCACTGCCGCTCTGTCATAACCCGCTTGAATCGGTTTGATGGTACAACTACGCCAGTGTCAGGTTGATTCTCAATGTACGAGATCTTGACGGGAACGTCACCAGCTCTGCCAGTTCTGATCTTGTCTCCTTGACGGCCAAATGACAAAGCCCCATCTTAAAGTGAACCTCTCCTTCTGGTATTCCAGACGGTGCTGCATATCCCTGCCCTGGTGTGCTTGCCCCTCCGCCCCCAGATCCAGCCAACTTGGCACCGCCAAACTGCTCCTCTGGCAACGTCACTACTTCTTGGCGAGACTCTGTAACCCCTCCTTTTGGTATTTCCGATGGTGCTGCATATCCCTGCAGCCCTGTATTGCCTGGCCCTCCGCCGCCAGAACCAGCCAACTTGGCACCACCAACTGCTCCTCTGTCAAAGTATCTACTTTCTCGGTGAGACTCTGCAAAGTCGCAAGACCTGACGATACACATTCAAGGCATGGCGGCGTGGCGTTCCTTTTTCTCGAACACATCATCATCATCATCATCGGCAACAACAACACCTCCACCTCCATCACAAGCATCTGATTCATCAAAACCATCACCGTCTTTCACCGCGTCAGTCTCCCTTCCCTTAAGTTCCCTTGTTGACATTCGCTTGATCTATGCTCCACATCTCTTCCTTCAAGTTTACGTCAGATCTGGGCACCCACAAAATGACAATGCAAGTGTCCTAGTGTGTGACACGATCAACATCACCCGCACTGCAGTTCTTTCCCTTCGGCATTCATGTTATCGTTGTTGCCCCAAAATGTTTTGCCCGACCCCTGTTGTGTCACATAAGCCTGTAGGCCATGCCAGCCACATCAAGGCCAATACCTTTCCTGCAGCTGCGCAACCCTGAACAACAGTCAAAAGAATCGCCACCACCATTGTGACTCCAATTTCTGTGAGAAGTGGGCACAGGCATGACCATCGCTGTCATCATCCTTTCCTCCTTCCACATCTTACCGAATATCACATAATCAAACTCCACACACCTTGATGCACCATTTTTGTCATGGACAGAGAACCCCGACACAAAGCTTCCCAATAATTTTGAACCACCACTCCAATGGCCCCTTGTACACTGTTCACTTTTCTTGTCTACGAGTACCAGGCCAAAATCTACACCGCCCAGGCGCGGTAGATGTTTGGTGGGGAAGGGTACCACAAGACTCCACAACTATTTTTCCTCATGGCGGCACTGTAGATTCTGGGCTCGAGGAAAATCAATGTGACTAAGTCTTTTGGTTTGCCAAAATAGCATTGGATGGAGTGGTTGTTTAAACCACAGGACTCAACGCCGATTCCATGCCCCAACCCTCACCCTCCCATACCCTACCCATTATCCTGAACAAGCCCGGACAGCCAACATCCCAATCTAAGAGTTAGCACCCTCGCGTTGGCAGAACAGCGGATCAAGTGAAATCAGTGTCACAAAGCGTCTCAACACAGAACCATATCCCAACATCGGCATGGTTCCATTGAGCAATCTTCTACAGAGAGTACGCCCGTTCAGGTCTTTGAGCTTTAGCATCACGACTGAAAGGCATTTCACGATGCAGACCCCAAATTCGAATTCCAGGGTCAACGTCACAGGCCAAGGGAGGCCAAGTCCGTCAGTCTCAGAGAAGTCACAATCGGGTACCTTAGGAGTCAAGTCCAACAGGCACCCGGCGAACAGTCACATCCCAGAGGCAATGGTTACATTCTATAAGCAAAGGTCATGTCTCGTATTGAAAAGTCATATTGAAAAGTCATATTGAAAAGTCATGTCCCACAGGCAAAGGACACTTCTCCAGGAAAAAGTCGTGTCCCAGAGGCAAGAGTCACATCCCACAGTCAAAAGTTATTTTCCACAAACGAAATGTCGTGACTCATGGTCCCAAGCAGCAGCACACCAATGAAATTCGGGAAAGTACCAGACCTTAACATTCTGAACCAAACACCAGGTCCAAGTCAGGCCAAGGAAGCAGAGGCTGGGACGAGTTGAGGCTCAGTCCAAGTCAATATAAGGACTGGCCAGCCACATTTGAAGGCAGAAGCTCATTAGTGAGAGGTGCGGAAGTGCTGCTGAAGCGCTTGTGCGCTATCTGCGAGTAGCATGTGCATGAGAGCCCTGCTGGGCAGCGCTGCACTGAGAGGGAAGGCGGCCATAGCCGCATAAGTTAGTAGCGGGGATAAGCTGAATAGCAGGGGATGTATTCAGAGTCAAGATTCTCAAGGAGAGAGAGAGAGAGAGAGAGAGAGAGAGAGA